GGGTAGTCTCTCGAGTGATATCCTATAAATTACCGAAGTTATGGTATCAGATATGAATCTAAAGCTATCTCCAAGTCATACTATAACAACCAGTGAAACCGATCAAATCATGACAAAAGTATGTTCACCTTTCTCAGGGAATATAACGGTATGGAAACGCACCCTTTTCGAGTTATGTAGTCACTTCGTGTATATAACCGGCGTTTCACCCGATCTCGGCTTCGTGTCATACCTCTCGTGCTTTGCCTGTGTTGTCAAGTCCCATCAGGAAACCCCCAACTGGCAAACGCATCGTACGTAAATTGTGCAATACGAAACCTACAGTAGCGGCGGGGAGGCGCTTCGTGTTCACCAGTCTACGCCTCCATCAACGAAGGCGGCCTCGTTCTGCAACCCCGACAGTTCCAATTTACCAACGTGCTCCTCATCAACTTTGGTCATTAGCATTGCCTTCACTTCTCGCCCACAAGCTTGACACTTTGACGGCTTCTCTCGACACTCGAGGATGGTCTGCTACCTTGCATAGGAGGCCCTCGCGTATGGCATTTACTTTACATTGTGGTAGAGCCATGCGAACTGTGGGGTGACGTCCCAACAGGAGACTGACAACGACGGGTGAGGGAGACAACTGGCCTGAACAGAGAGCTCAAGGCATGGAGGGTTTGAAATTTTCAATGAATTGTCACAATAGTAATAGTGAATGATAACAGTCTGAGAGAACAGTCCCATCAAGATCGGCTCAGGATCCAGCACAACCCCGCAACGGTAAGGCCAACCCCAGGGCCTTGGCTGCAACAATGACGTCCTCGAGGGTCACCCGTTGCTAAGATCCAACCTAGCAACCAAACTATGACGGTGGGACTCCTACCTCTCCAGAGAGAGCCTCCTTCTCTCCTCCTGCCAGAGCTCGCATTAAATCGTCCTCCTCGGCGGCATCCACCTCTGATACCATCTAAACCAGAAGCATAACGACAATGGACATCAAGAAGACCTGACCTCGCTGTCGTGATCAGCTATAGTTGCCTCCCTTCGTTTTCTACTGCTGGCCAAAGCCTCACTGGCCAGCTTAGCCGACAACGCCTCAGCCTCGAAAGATATCCTCCTTAGGGCCTCCTTGGATAAGGGCACTG